TTTAGATCTGTTAAAAGTTTACGAATTTACAATTTATGACTTAAATAATACACTTCCGCGACAATTCTCGATGTGATATCATCTATGAAATAAATGATTCATTAATTTCAACGATACCCAGAGACCTCCTCTTGCTTCGATTTTCAAGTATTAACTTTGACCGATCCCTCTCGAACTATCACGGACTTACCCTGCATTCTGTCGAAATACAAACCTTACCCTGCATTCTGTCGAAATACAAACCTTCCAGTGTCTCTTCACATCTATTCTAGAATCGTTTTTTATTCTCCCGACTAGATGTTTCGCCATAAACGGCATATCTCTGGACATTGCGCCAATTTCAGCGACGTCCAATTGCGAACCTGGTTGATTAGTTAGAGAATCTCCATACGCGTAGCCTATTAATTTCGGGTTGTATTCCTAGATATAAGAAAACTCGACTATGAAAAAGAAAGAAAAAGAAGAAGAAGAAGAAGAGAATTCATACGCGTGACGAATCTGTGAGAAATAAACGAACTTTAAGAATATTAGGCAATGTCAAGTATGTTCGCCAAGTTCCCTGGCCACCAATTAATGCTGTCGCGCCTCTATTTTCGATGAACACTTCCAACAAATTAGTCGCGAAAAGTCCATTGCCAGCTGTCAAAGAATCACCCATCGCGGCAATAACATCTATGTCACCTGGCCTCAAACGGTGAACTGACTCCGGGATTTTAGAAGACCTACCACCTAAATGTATGAAATGCTTAGAGATTTCAGAAGTGACTTCGAAGAGTTAACTTCAAGAGACATTGTTCTTTGAATGTTGTTCTAATTACCTGTAACGTTGCAAGGGAATGGAACATTTTTTGAAACCTCCTTCTCGACTAAACTTTTCAGATTTTGTGCTAAGAACGATCGTTCCTCATTTTTCATTCCTAGAAAATATTATTGATTACGCGTATATTTTTCTGTGGATGTCAAGTTCGTAATAATTACGAGTATCATTATCTTTCTATTAAATGCTTGATTTAACAATTAATGGTAAATAATTATTTAATTTCTGTCAGATAATTTGAAAATATTCAATTATAATTGTGCAAGAGGATCGTAAATTCGGTTTATGATAGATAGTTTCTTTAAAATGTCTGGAACAAATTTAATCAGTTACATAAACTAAATATTAATATTAATATTTTATTCAAATGTGCTTCGTGCATAACTCTTAGCCCTTCTTCTACTAACCGAATCATGAACTAAAACCATGAACAACTCACTCCTAAAACACCATTATGAATTCCTTGCACATTATCAATCTAAACATTATAAATTCTACTTTTTTTTTTTTTTTTT